AAACTAATTGAGAGACAGCAGGACAAATTTATGAGTGGGATAGTATGACAGGGAGAATACAGTGAGTCGGTAATGCACTTCTGCTTATCAGACATTCAAGGTAGATAAACAAAACTATATTATAAAATGGAAACAAACTAGCTAACTTATAAAAAGTACATTTAGTCAAACATAATAAAAAAATCGGAGTCTACTGATAAGAACAGTATGTAACAAATTATCCTTACATAGCATTTTGAAGCCTGGTCTTTTGATTAGTTAACTTAAACACCCATGATCATTGTGTTATTTTACACAGAGCAAAATACTCCTTGAACACAATATAGTTTTGCAAAATAAAGTGACCTCCCTTAGTTAATCTGGGTTTAGCATTTCAAAATTACCTTTGAACTTCAAAATACTGGCATACTATCCATTTGTTTTTAAAATCTTACCCCTTATTATTGCTTTGAGATGGTTGGGTTTTAGCTTTCTTGCAGCGATCACATCACTGAGAGCAGAACGGTAGTTGCCTACACAAAGCAAAACCTGGGTCAGAACATTTCACATGAACAACTTCTAAAATCCAAGTAGACTTGAGGGCAAGAGAAATCATTAGGCTGAGCCACAGGACAATGCATATTCTATGACCACAAGACAGGTACAGATGGAGGTTGCACATTAATGACAATAGAAATAAATGATTGGGGTAAATCTGGTGCCCAGAAAAGTGAAGGATGGATAACAGGAGCTAGGACAGACAATGCACAAACTGCTACATTTAACATACAACAGATTGCCCTCACTATTTATAACTTCCTTGTTTTGTTGCAAGGATCTCAGTGGGACCTATGAAAATACACAGGCCTACCCAAAATCTGATGCACATGTATAGTTATCTGTCTCCTTATCTCTTCACTATAGAACCAGAGTTTTATCACTGTCCTTTCCTCCCGGCACCCAACCCCTGACCCAGGTTCCCAGTGTTACTGCCAAGCGAGGACCATCATCAAATCACCTCTAGGAATTAGCCCAGAAAAGCCCAGCATCAACCTGTTCGCTTCACACTCCTCCCCAAAGCACTTTGCTTTGGACACAAGTTTTAAATTTAGCAATGTGCAAAACAGAAGCTCCAAGATTTGACCCCTGCAAAAAGAGTCAGAGCCACAGGGATGGCCCCTTATGTTGAACAATCTGCTCGACCTTGTATTTAGCTGTGACTCTCTGAGTACCATTCCCAGACCTGAGGAAGAGCTCTGTGTAGCTCGAAAGCTTCTCTCTCACCAAGAGAAGCTGGTCCATTAAAATATATTACCTTGCTCACCTTGTGTCTCTCAGAGCCACAGGGACACTTCATGATTGTCTGAAAATCTTTTGAAAGTTTGTAACAGTGAAAGCACATGACATAAATAGGCAAAGCAATTTAGTCATTTTTGGTTACACAGAATCTACATCAGACATAAAATGCAACATAGGACATTACCCAGATAAAACTGTGCTGCAGCTCGGTTAGTATAAAGCACAGCATTCAAATCTTGGTCACTGCATTTCTTTTTTAACCCTTCAGTATATGAGATTACAGCTTTCTTGTAGTTCTTTTCCTTGAAGTATTCATTCCCCTCATTCTTATAGGTGTTTGCTTGCTCTGCAAAGACAAACAAAACACCTTTCATTGTACAATGCAATCAATAGATCACCCCTGCCTATAACCTTAGCATACCTAAAAATTCAAACACCCCTTAGATACCCAATGCCCACTCACAGAAAAGCAGATATCTAGAACCCACCACACCCACCTACAATTAAATCCTCAAATCCCAAGGATAATTCCAAAGAGCAGTAGCACAATACCAGAATGGTGTGAAAGCAAAGATTTAAATGTCCATGAAATTATGAAATACCTTCAGGAGATCGATCCTCATCAAAAATGATTGACTGAAGGCATGCCAAATCAGGATTCTGTTCAGGATCAATTTCAGCAGGGGATTTCTTCATAAACATGGGGATCTTGTCAAATTCCTATTAATAACAGCCAGGGTGGAAAACACAATCATAGAATTGGAATTAAGTCCACATTTTGGAAATCGTTAAGTCCTTATCAATATGGCCTTGCAAAATATTCTCTTCAAGCACATCAACCCAGTCAGGGCACAGGTAGCCCAGTAATACATTGAAGGAACGGACGAAGCCATTCAGAGCTCACCCACATCTCTCTGGGAGCAAAAGCCCCTCATCTGAAGGAAAGATGAGTTTCTCTGTCAGCATTTCAATGGGACATTTCATATCCCACACAAGATTTTTTCCCTCCAACATTTCTTGTTCAGCTTGTCCCAGCATTAGGCTCACAAACGTTGGTGCCATTTCTGCCTCTTCATTAGGAGAGATCCACACTATTCTCCACCGCCCAACATGAGCTGACAACCGCATTCAGAGAGAGAGAGAGACACACACACACACACACACACACACACACACCTCCCATCTCTGTCAGACCATCACAATCCCTCTCCAAAAGACAGGAGACCCCTCCCTGGCCCAGGCAGGACACCCGACCAATACAGCACTTTGCACACCTCCCTCACTAGGGACAGCTCCTTCCCCACCACCAGATCCCTCTGCCCCAAGCTCTACCGACGAGACCCCCTGCCCCCAAACACCCCTCCCCATCTCCAGGGATAGCCCCCTCCCCCCATCGCTAGGAATCAGACCCCCCCGCTGTCCCCAACACCAACTTCCATCTCTAGGGACAGCCCCCGCCCCATATCTCTAGGGCCGAGACCCCCCCAACACCCCCGCTTGCAGGGTGGCCCCCCGCCCTGTGGCCAAGGCCCCCGGCCCGCACCTGCTCCCAGCTCTCCGGGTCGAAGCCCCCTGCGTAGCGCTGGGTTTGGGATTTGTCTAGGAAGGCGGCCAGCCCGGCCTCCTCCGCCTGTCCCGCAGCCGCCTCCATCGGCTCCGGCTCCGGCTCCAGCTCCGGCTCCAGCTCCGTCCGCCCTGCCGCTCGCTCCCTCCCTCCTTCCTGCCGTGCAGCCGCCGCCGCTTCCCCCGCGGCCCGGCCCGGCGCCCTCCGTTCCGCCCCGCGCGGCGCCGCCCGCTCCTGCCCCAGCCCCAGCCCCAGGGCGGCGCTTCCACTAGGGCCTTGGCCAACTGCTCCCCGGCACGGGACAGCCCCCTCCCCGCGGCCTGGGGATCAGGGACAGCTCCTCCTGCCCCATACAAACCCC